GTTTCTTAGTTCCTGTTAGTACACGTGCTGCTGCATTCTGAATTAGCTGGAGAGTTTTTAAGGACTTACTAGAGCTACCTGATAATAGAGAGTTACAGTAATCCAGCCTAGAGGTAACAAAAGTGTGGACCAATTTTTCTGCATCTTTTCGGGTCAGGATAGGCCTAATTTTCACAATATTACGCAGATGAAAAAATGCAGTCCGTGAGGTTTGTTTTAAATGAGAATTAAAAGACAAATCTTGATCAAATGTTACTCCGGTTTCTTACGGTAGTGCTAGAGGCCAGAGCAATGCCATCTAGAGAAACTGTCATCAGATAAAGAGTCTCTGAGTTGTTTGGGGCCAAGAACAATAACTTCAGTTTTGTATGAATGCAGAGACAAACCAGATATAAACGGCTCATTCTAAAGTAACGGAAACACAAATTCCATTTCCAGGTGATTATACGCTAAAGAAAACATACTGATCAAGTTATATTCCATCTCTACCAACAGATCCCTCTGAATCCTCCACGCTGGACCTTTAAATCCCACGGCAGAAACTGTAAGTGCTTTTCCATTAAGAGAGATGCTGTGCACATTTATAAATGAGGAGTTCATTGTTTATATCATAAGCTAAACGTTCTCTTTCCTCTGTCAAGTTTATAACTAGTTGTCTCATGATATTTGTTGCAGTGACATGACTACGCACATGGAGACATTTACAATAAGTGAAAGCAGCCTCTTTAACTATTAAATGAAATGGTTAAATAAAACACTCGTACATCAGTTAAATTCATAATTTAAACAGGAACACGGCCCACAGGGGCTGGGAGAGGGGGAGTGGGATGTCCATGCGGGAGCAGGTCTTTAAATTGGAGAAATTATTTATTCAGACAGATGGTGGGTTTATGATGTATGCGTAAACGTCGGAGCCAATCCACGCATCACTAATGTTTACCTTCATATGCAAACCATAGCAAGCTGCTACAGAATAACCACACACACCTCCACACACACAACATCGTTCTGTTATAGTTTGGCATTCTGCTCAGGAGACAGTGGATTATGAGCTCATTAATCCTGTGCATCATGACCTCCTTTCCAGTTTTGTAAATGCTGTATAAAGCAAACGCTGCTGTGTCACATTTTAAGTTGTGATATGACCACTTACAGCGTGAAATAAAGTCCAGTTATGACTGAAGCAGCACCTGTGTGAAACGGCTTCATCATTGTCATGATTAAATGTTAACAACCATACACCATCTGCCTTTAGCTGCAGGTGTTCTGTGTTCAGGTTGTTGAGTTTTGTTGTCATGCTTCACTGTGATTGGCTGAGCTGTTTTAGAGCCAGCCACTGGAGGACGCAGCAGTGACTCACTAAAAACAGTCCAGTTGTTTGTTGGTCTCAAACAGTGATGTCACTCCATAGACTGTTTATAAAGATGAACGTGCACTTATTTCACTGTACAGAAGTGAAACTAAAATATCCCGGATATGGCCGCTGCCATCTTGCTCTGGTGATGTCATTTGGAGCCAGAGTCTGTGCAGCAACAATGTCCACAGTAGCAAATGTCCAACCCATACACCAATGTGACCAATCGCGAGTAGTGCCAGTGAATGTGAGCCCACTGATTGGTTCAAACAGTTCACACAGTTGTCGATCATGTTGTAAAATCCCTGTTTTATAGTATTAAATAAGTAATTCAAGTTTGTTAGGTCTGTCATGATTTGGTACTGCCAATGATAATGTGAGGGCTAACATTAGCATTCACTAGCTAGCTAACTTGTTCCTCGCAACAGAGGCACATTTTAGTCAGCACTGACATTGTGGCCTAAGTTTTGTTCATGCGTGGGTGGAGATAGCAATGAAATGTTGACGATAATGCTCCACCGTCACTTTGCAATTCACCGTTTAGCGCAACACACAAGATGTATAGTGTACTACATTGAAATGAACTAACAGAAGTATGTGATTTGAGGCGTGCTCTGTGTGTCACACCATCCACCATCCCCTCAACCTCCCAATGACAAAGTCACTTCATATAATATGTCACTTTAGAAACGTTGACATAATTCACATGAAACATACAAATGAAATGTATTCGTGGTTTGCAGAAATGTACAATGCCAACATTTTCTTCTGGCCACAGTGGTGGCAACATTGACAGAAAATTGGAAAATTAATTCTGTTATCTAAAGTTTCTATTTTTTAATCATTTAAAAAAATGGAATATATATATATATATATA